GGGCATGCACCTTCAGGCCCTGGCCCGCAGTTTTCTGCACAGAATGCTCTACAGCTCTACCTCTCACTGCCCCTTCTCCTCAACAGCCACAGGTAACTTCACCTGGATAACTCCCAGTTCATCCTACAACTCTCAAATGGGTTGCTTTCTCTTGGCGGAAATTTTTCTTGATCTGCTAATCCCTTTGGGTGGCCTGTGTCCTCATAATGCCCTCCTGCGTCGTCTTTGATATTTGCTTATCTGTTTACTTGCCTCTCCCACCCATTGGATTGTGGGTCCTCTGGGGGCAGGGACAGTGCTCTCCACACCGATGTAGCCTCAGCATTTGGTCCAGGGTAGGCACTCACCGGGTATGTACTGAAATTATGAGGGAATGCACATTTCATCTGAGCCTCAGAGCAGCTCTGGGAGGATGTGAGACTTTCCTGGGGCCACAGCATCCCAGTTGGTTTCATGTTTAGAGACCAAGTCTCCTAACTCTGGTCCCTTTCCCATGCATAATGCCTTTACGTAAAATTGCTTCAGTTTTTTTTCCCATGTAGCCTAAATATGCTTAGTTTCTTTAAACTTTCTTCCTGGAAACTTTTTTTCTAACCTTTTCAGTGATTGCTAATTGTTATTTTATAACTTTTTAATTCTTTCTGTTTCACATGCCATATTTTAGCAAGACATTGAAAGGAACACAGGACAAAGCAGACCCATATTTTTGGGTGTTGTAGACTTTGACGTTCCTAATTCAGTTCTTTCTAGGCAGTGCGTCCAAGTCACTGATGCTGCCTTAGCCTCTTCATTCAAGGGCTCCTCTGATAGATTTGAGCAGACAAATGCCAGGGTTATGTGCTCATTCTGTTTTACAGAAGGTCTTTTCCAGGAGTGTCATTTGGAGATTGTTTGTTCTCTGAAGAATATGACGATGGCTCTTAGTGTCACGAAGGCCAGAAACGTGGCTGGCTCCTCAGCCTCACAGGGCCGTTCCACGTGATTCCTGAGTAAGCCCTCTGGATTCTAGTTCTCTGCTCACAGGAGTGATTCTTCCCAACGTTGACTGTTGTGTTATCTTCTTATCTCCTCTCTTCCGTGATCCAGAAAGGTCATGTAATTTTCAGTCCATGTACCCACACTGCCTACCAAGTTTCTTCTCAGGGCCATACTCAGTTCCTTCCTATTTGCTCATTAATGAAATGAGAAGACTGTGCCAAGTTAAAGTTCAGCATCTTCAGAGTGCTCCGTGATGGTAGTCCCTGAGGCTGCCTTTTAACAACTGATGCAGTATTCTCTGAGCAGTGTCCTGTTAGGAGTGCCCAGCTGGATCAAATGAAAAGCCTTGCTGATTTATTAATTTTGTCTCTGGGTTGAAATAGGACATTAATAACGTTTTATGAATTTATTCTTTGTAAAGCTAGATTAGTCTTTACCTGTTTGTTTTTGAATTTGTTTTGCCTAGCCCCAGTAGGTATGGAGGTAACTTTAACGTGTCTGTAGATTTCAGGAAAATCTAGTTTATGTTTCAAAAAACACCATGCAGTTTTCCGGTGCAATTTTTAGGTACTTTATTAGGCCTTCATATGTTTTCAAAAATAATTGCTGGTGACCCTGATGAAACGAGGAAAGGTATTGCTTGGTTTCTGAGGCAGCCCGGCCTGCGGTATGCAGCCCTCTATTTAACAGTTGAGTCTTTAACTAGGTGCTCCCCTCTTTTGGGGTGACTTCCTGCCTTTCCACCTTTGGGCTACATACACTGATGGTAAGATCACAGTGGACTTATCTTTAAAGGTCAGAGGTAAAAATAAGTACAGTGTTAAAAACATCCATCTTTTAGTATCTTTTATTTTATTTAGAGCTTCCTATCCCCTTCTAAGAAAAGCTACTGTTTTCCTTTTGCTATTTTGTTCCTTAATGCTTTTCAGCAATCTCCCCATGTATACCCAGGGATTCCACGAGCCTGACCTTTGGGGACGTGTGTAGGCCTTTGCCCAACCTCCACCTGTGAAATAAAATGATGAATAATACTGACCTTGTGGATCTGAAGTGAGGATTAAATTCTCTAATAGGTGAAAGTGCTTTTGTTATAAACTTTAAATACATAGATAGATTAAAATGGCGAGTACTAAGTGTTGATATTTATGCCCAGAATTGCCAAATGCCATGTCTTAATGATTTTAGCCAGAATATCCAGAAAGACTTTAAGATTAATAGGTTATTAAATGAGCATCTCCCACTCTCTGAATGTTTCTATTTCTGCTTCTCTCATTCTCTGTGTTCTGTTTCTTTTTTTTTTTGAGGAAGTTTAGCCTTGAGCTAACATCTGCTGCCAATCCTCCTCTTTTTGCTGGGGAAGACTGGCTCTGAGCTAACATCTGTGCCCATCTTCCTCTACTTTATATGTGGGATGCCTGCCACAGCATGGCTTGTCAAGTAGTGCCGTGTCTGCACCCGGGATCTGAACTGGTGAACCCTGGGCTGCTGAAGTGCAATGTGTGCACTTAACCACTGTGCCACTGGGCCAGCCCCTCTCTGTTTCTTTTAATGCGTGACATTGTCTCTCCCAACTCTAGTAGCTTTCTTTAACTGGATAAAATAGAGAAGTATGTTTTAATTATTAATTATTGTTGCTATATAAAAAGTAAAACTGAATGGGTAGAATGTTTATTTTTCTCTCTTTAAAAAATTCACACAGGGGCTCGCCCTGTGGGCTAGTAGTTAAGTTTGGTGGCAGCCCAGGTTCCATTCCTGGGTGTGGACCTACTCCAGTCATCAGCGGCCATGTAGTGATGGCAGCTCACATACAAAATAGAGGAAGATCAGCACAGATGTTAGCTCAGGGCGAATCTTCTTCAGCAAAAAACAAAAATAAAACTCACAATTTTTTTTTCACTATTAGTTAATTCTTAAGTCTTTGCCCTCAGTGGATCAGTGATTTTCAGCAGAATCTCTTTCCCCTCCATTGCTTTGTGCTTTTGTTGCTGGGAGTTAACAGCAGGGCTACTTAAGCACTTCTAATTCACGCATATTTTTTTCTCTTTTTTTTTAGAAATGGATTTCATTAAATTCTATGCTCAGTTTGTCCTCAGAAAATTACTGAAAAGTATATGGTACAGATACGAGTGTTTGTAACTACACAATAACAAAGCAAGTACTCTGGTTTTTTAAATAATGGGAAATGTGGGATCATTCATAGTGTGAGGAAGGGAATTTTGAAAATTTAAGGGACCTCAGAATCAGCTGGCAGTTACAAGTTCTAGGTTTGTAGCTAGGACTGTTTGATTTTTTTCCTTTTTTAAAAATATGCTTCCTTCCACTGACTGTTGTGTGAGAAATGACAAATCACTACGTTTTTGGTTTTTTTAGTGCTAAGCAAAGCCAGCCCAACTGTACCTCCTCTTGCCTTACAGCCATAGGCTTATTGCTCTTTCCGTGCCTTTCTCTACCTCCCTGAAAGAGTCCACTTAGTCAAATAGTGACTGTTGACTGAGCACATTGTGCTAGTCCAGACTCTTGTGATTACAAATGACAGACCTCAAGTCAAACTAGTTCATTTAAGAGTGGGTGCAGGGGGAGAAGGGCTTATTGAGAGGATGCTCAGTAGCCAGGAAGGATGGAAAACAGTTCACCCTTCCACATCTGCATCTTTGCTGAGGGTCCATAGCTCATGAGCCTTCCCTCCTCAACCCCTGCAACTGCTTAGAAAGGCTGTGCTCTTTCTTCAGTGCCTCAAGCAGGCTCCTTCCTCCATTCACATTGCCTTTCTGTCCCTCCTCCTGCCTTCTTTGGTCTGGTTAACTTCTGCTTATTCTTCAGGACATCTTCCTGACCCCCAGCCTGAGATGCATCCCTTCTATGCATTTTCATAAACTCTTGTGCACAGGACTTGTCTGTGCATCTGTCAAACTTTACGGTAATTGCCTGTTTACTTGTCTGTTTCCCAGCGAGACAGTGGCCTTCTCGAGTGTGGGAGCTGTGTCTGATTCATACGTCCATTCTTTGTCCATGGTCTCATTCATAAACAGAAGGAAGTATTTGTTGAATGAGTGAGCTTACGTTCTCTGTTCATGTTGATGACTTTGCTTTCTGGGCTGAGCTCACGACAAATGCAAAAGCCTTTTTCCCTAATGAGATCAGACTTCTACTTCTAACGTCCTTCATTCTAAAACTGGACTGGATGTGATCCTCTTCCACAAACAAATTCAGTAAAGAAGTGTAATATGTGTGCAAAGGTCCTTTAGGTCACTTGTTGTTTTGGTAATAGTCAAAGTTTTGTGCAGTATCCAGATATAAATGATAATGACTTATAATATACTTATAAATGTGTAAGCGAAACTTACTTAATGGGCAACCAGGTCACCTATATAATTGATATAAACAGAGTAGCAGGAATTGGTCAGGAAGGAGCCTGACAGTGCAGTTTTATTTTTAGTGGTTTTATTTTTCATTGGATCCAGCTATTTTGATGAGCAGTCTAATGGCCTTTTAAGTAAGCTGAAAAAACTTTTACTAATATATGCTAACTTTTGTCAATTTGTCCTTCCTTTTTAGAGGTAACCATAGTATTACAATCTTTAATAACTTTAATATAATTATTTTCCATTTGTTCTAAGGTTGAGATACTGCTTGTTGGTTCATCAAGAACTCTGATGTGTGGCTCCCACAAAACTTATAAGGGCATCTTCTGTTTTTGACTGACAGTTTAGTAACTAGCTTTCATTAGACTCCTCAGTGGTTATGAATCCATGAAAACTACTCACAACAATGGCTTTAGGAGGCAGAAACTAAGAAACTGTGCTTTTCTTCTTATATGTAGTTATTTTCTTCTAGGGTATATGACTTGAACCTAGTATTCCAAGCCTGTGTAATGCTGAACCATTTTAATGGTACTTTGCTATGGTTCTAATAATTCTCGTCATCAGAAACAAATGATTTCACCAGAAAGCAAAATGAGAGTCGGTTTTACTGATGACATACTCATGCATTCCCTGTTCTTCTCCATCTCTCTTTTTTTTCAGTGAGCATGTTTTTGAACACATTAACACCGAAGTTCTACGTGGCCCTGACAGGCACTTCCTCACTAATATCAGGGCTTATTTTGGTAAGTGGTGGAATCCTATCTATTTAAAAACATATTTATTATTGATATACATGTTAGTGTAAGTACAGGAAAAAAATCTGGAGTAATATACACCAGCAGCCTACAGTGATTATCTTGCATGTGTGTATATGTTGGGTGGGGGGACTTATAGAGGCCTTCCACTAGCCAGGTTTCTAAAATATTGGAAAAAATATTACTTTTGTTGAAGGAAAAAAACAAAATGTAAATAAAATGAAAAATAAAGGAAGACACAATTCCGTGTCAAATCTTTCTTTTATTTTTTTAATTTTTAAATTTTTGTGAGGAAGATTGACCCTGGGCTACCATCTGTCCCAGTCTTCCTCTATTTTCTATGTGGGGCGCCATCCCAGCATGGCTTGATGAGTGGTACATAGGTCTGTGCCCAGAATCTGAACCCAGGAATCCTGGGCCTGCCGAAGCCGAGTGCGTGAACTTAACCCCTATGCCACTGGGCCAGTCCCATGTGTCAGATTTTACTGTCTAAGATACTATAAAATAAATGTGACTCAGTTGAAGTAAAAAGTTTTTCATTACCCTTTTCAAAATGTATTATTGGATGTAATTAAGATCAGTAGAAATACAGCTCAGTTTCTTTAAATGTATTGACATGGATGTGGCAGGTCTAAGTTTTTTCCCCTTCATCTTTTTTCTTTTAAAATTTACATTTATTTCCCTATTGCTTCCTTTAAAAAAATCCTGAATAGGCAAAAAGCAATATGATAGTCATTGCTATGAATCCATTACCTTATGCTCTAAAATAGTTACAGGGACGATAAATTGTAACACCTGAAGTAGTTTGCTTTAATTTAAGTGGCCTTAAGAAAGACCATCTAAACTCAGTGGAATCACTCTAATAAAATGACCTTTAAGGCAAAAGAAGTTTTAGAAAGCATTTTTTTCCTCTACATATAATGCTGTGATTGCTAATTATTATAGAAACAGGGACAAGAAAGATGTTACAGAGTTGATGTTAGGAGAAGATCAGTAGAAGAACAAAAATTTTAGGGGAGAAAGGCACAAAAATGTGGAGCAAGAGTGCAGATGATGGGGCCGGCCAGGTGGTGCAGCAGTTAAGTTCGCACGTTCCGCTTCTCGGCGGCCCTGGGTTCGCCAGTTCAGCTCCCGGGTGCGGACATGGTGCCGCTTGGCAAGGCAAGCTGTGGTAGGCGTCCCACATAGAAAGTAGAGGAAGATGGGCATGGATGTTAGCTCAGGGCCAGTCTTCCTCAGCAAAAAGAGGCGGATTGGCAGTAGTTAGCTGAGGGCTAATCTTCCTCAAAAAAAAAAGGTGTAGATGAACCTAGAACAATGGAGGATTTCAGAAGCTTGCACTTACAGAGAGGCAGAGTAAAAGGTGGGGAAATATATGCAGGGCACAAACCTACAAACAGGTGACATGGATGGTGGGTGTGTGGGAGCATCTTTCTGTGGTCAGAGCATATTCAGGTTAATCTTGCTCTGCTGTGTCATGTGGGCTGCTGGAGTTAAGGGAGGAGATGTTTGAAGTCGATATTATTGGATCAGGAATGTGAAGAACATCAGCAAGAGCCGCTCCAAGATAGTTACGTAAGTGGAAATCCAAATAGAAAGCCCAGTGCTGGCTGCCGAGATCAAGCAAGGTGACGGGAGCATATTAAAGCTCCTCTTTCAAATGGGTTGAAATAAGGCGTAGTAATTTGTAGTAATTTGTACCATATTGCCTCTCAAATGCAGATCTGCACGCCAGTCTGTATCTCTGAAGTCTTTCCTGTTCTTTGGGGACATGAGAAAAATAAGCATGCTATAGACAGTTGTTCATAAAGCTATAAGGTGATTTGTCTAAGCTCACTTTGTTAGTTTGTAGCAAAGCCAGGCCTGGAACCTATGTCTTCAGGTTCCTACCTTGATGTTCTTAATGGACTGAAGAAACTTTAAACTTGGAAAGTGCTTTCACATGCTTGAGAAATAAGTATGTGCTGAAAACATGGCAGCCTTTTAGCATGTGTGTTTTTTGGGGGGAGGAGGAGGTATTACAAGTCTCCATCTACTAATTGTCCTTTACATTTAAAATAGTATTCTAATATTTTCTTTCTAAAACATCTTCGAAATATTTTTTGATTCAACAAATAGGAAAAAAGTGAACTTTTTTGGATGTAATTTGAATAGCAGTTTCATACTGAAACCAATAATTCACTCTGATGCAGAAAGGTAGGTTTTGTTTGTGCATTCCTCTCTCAGGGATGTTCACTAAAGAACGTTACCTACTTAGATAATGCTCACTCTGTGCCCGGCACTGATCTAAGCACCTCGTGTGCTAACTGACTAACTCATTGACTCTTCAGAACAATACAATGAGGCCATTGCCAGTGTTGTTTTCGTTTTACTTATACAGAAGCTGGACAGGTAGAATAGGCAAGTAAATAACTTGCTTAGGTCACATAGTTGGCAAGTGGTGGAGAGGTTTTCAACCCAGGCAACCTTGCACCAGAGCCTGTGCTTTTATCACTCATTGCACCACCTCTCTGGTTAAGTTCTCATCTGTTTTTCTAGCTTGCTGAACAAACGGCAGGTCTGGATGTTATTCTAGCATTATCTTGGTGTTATTCAATAGGCTGTAAATTAGTTACCAGAGGGTGGGTTCTTTCCTTTCACTCGGGTTAAGTTAGGCCCAACAGTTGTTTTCCCTTCTAACTCTGGGATGGTGAAGGCCCGTCAGCTTGCTTCTCTTATTCTCTGAATAAAGGGATTTTCCTAGACCACGACCGTCCTTGCAGTTCCACATTGGCGAGGCTTCCTCCCTGCCTGTGGAGTGCAGTTGCTGAAACCTGATGGTCCCTGCTGTGCTGTCTGATGGTGTGTGTACCTTGCGACACTCTCAGGAAGCAGAGGATACGCCTGACTGATGTGAAACTTTAGGCAAAGGAACACTTCTGATATGTGAAGATTTTGAAAGGCTTTTCTCAAAAATGCTTGGTCTATACTAAGGGCAGAGTAACTATAATGTTTAATAGTTCTTGATAGCTTTAGGATTCTGCTTTAGAGATTGTTGACATTGACGTTGTCCAGCCTTTGGGCACTCAGCTTTGCTAGCCCTTGAAATGTACCCAGGATTGAGGTTTCTATTCAGCCACTATTTTCTGCCAAGTGCGTTTCATGGAGAGGCAACATTGAGGTAAAGAATCAGGTGCTTTGCAAAAAAGCTGCGTGCGTAGAACTGCTTAGCGATTTGTTTCCTGGCACCAGAGAGATGATTACCTAACTACTCTCCCCTGAGCAGCGTTAAGAGAGCCAGGCAGTGAACATTCAAAGTACAGGGCTGCCGCTGGGGAAACTGGTTGTTTGGAGACCTCAGAATTCCTATACTGGAGACTGAAATTATCACACAATGTGATGTCTTAGGAGAAGAGAGGAAAAAACAAACAAAAATAACACCCTAGTATTTCTCCTGTGAAGAAAAGTCAATTAGCTGAGCAAATATACATAGAAATAAATTGTGTTTGGCAAATGCTGCTGTCGTTTACACTAATGTGCTTAAAAATAAATGAGGACTAATCAGTGTGTATTTTACTAGATATCACTGCCAGCTCTTAATTTCACAAGTTGAAAGCCAACAATGAGTTTATTCTACCACCTACCTCTCACTCTTCCCTTTTGATTCCTGTGCCCATATTCTCCTCCAGGCAGCTCTCTCCCTTTCTTGATTACAAGCTGCTCTTCTGCCCATTGGCACAAGCCACTGGAACTGCACCTGTCGTCACAGTCCAAAGCCACCAGTTTAGTCTTTTATCTGCTCTAGCAAGGACATGTCCAGTCTGCTTGCAGTAGCCTCTTCGGACAGTGTTTATTTCAATGGAGAAAATTTCTGGATTTTGTTTTTGCTTTTGAGAGTGGTATGGTGGACTTGTGGAGAAAACACTCCTCTTAATTTTCTCAAAATCTTGGTAGAATGGAGAAAATGCAGTGTTTTGTATTGACATTCATACATAGATCTCTGTATCCCCATTAACATGTATATGGACATGCTCCTGCACTTACATTTTACACACACACACACATACACACATATATATGAAATAGAGATAATAGAATCCATAACGTAATTTTAAAAAGTGAGAATCAGGAACAAAAAAGGGAGAAAATCAGAATAGTATATAAAAGAATTAGTTTGTGGATTAGATGTAAAAGAATTATGTTTTTGGGAAAGAAGTAGAAGAGACCACAATTAGGTAGGAATCAGTTGTAACAGAAGGTCTGTTTATTGAGTTTCCCACTCTATGCCAGGTACTGTTTTAAGCACTTTACATATATTATCTCATTTAATTCTTATTGAAATTCTAAGTGCCTTTATGCTGCTGAGTGTAAACAGACACAAAGGTTAAATAATTTGGCCAACGTTACCTAACAGACAAATGGTGCTTTGAATGCAGATCCCTCTGACTGTGTCCTCCATCCCCTCCTGTTCTAAAGTCAGGGAGTGGGACTGGAAGGTTGTTATGGCTCCTTTCAACTCTTTCTCATCCATCTAAGGAACTTAACCTGCTCTTGGGGTAACGCTTTAATTGATAGGTATGTGGGTCACCCAAATGATGGTGATTCTGGAGCTAAGAGTAAAAAATGACTCAAGAAAACTTGACTGGAAGGGCTCTTGGGTGTAAGAGGTGGCGTGTAAGTATCAGGCTGTGTCCATTATGAAGCAGATTGTCTTTAGGTTCCAGAATGAGAGATGCCTTGGGGGCCAATGGTAGGGGAGCCTGCTGACAATGGGAAGAAACTAAGGCTCATTCAGCCTTATCAAATTACAGCTTTTTGGGGTCACCATGAAAATTAATGGTCTTTTTCAGGAAACCAAGTGCCAGGCAAGAGAGTAGATAGAAGCTTGTCAGAGTCTGGCTGTGGACACCAGCATTTGAGTGCTAATCAGATTAATGATTAGACATGGCAAGAGTGAAGAAGGTGAACAAGCTAATAAAGGGACAAAACTGCCCTTTTGGCTTTTTTAG